AACAAATTCTATGGGACTGAGAAATATTATTTTCTACTATTTAGTCCATTTATAAAAGCGTTGTATATTAAAAAGTTTTTTTTATATTATTTATTTTCTACTTTTTAGTCCTGTCTGAATAAAATTTTGCAATAGATATTAAAATAATTCAACGATATTAATAGAAAGGTGCACACACATGCATTTACATATGTATGTACATACAAACGAGCACCAATTAATTTTATTTAAAGAAATGTCGTGTCGTCTATTTCCGCTGTAGCAAACGTAGTACATAGGGCGACATCTAGATGTCACCTACCTCGCCCTATTCACTACAGATGTCGCCCTATGCACTATGCTTTTTTATAGGAACTTTTCAAAGCAAAGCTTTATGGTGTCGGACACACAACATTGAAAGTTTCTGGATCCACAACATTGAAAGTTTCTGGACGCACAACATTGCAAGTTGATAAAAGCGTTGTAAAAAAAAAGAATGCCAGAACTTGTCAATACGTCGTGCGGCCATATTTTTTTGACCACTGTATAATAGTTAATATTTTCAATTCCGCTATACAGTTCAATGCGAGCGTGAACGTGAACTTTTTAGTCTGACTAATAACTTCGCTATTACTTCACCTTTTGCAATAGTTAAAATTATCAAAAGATAGAGAAATAATATATCTCTTAGAATTATGGAATTAAAAGTAATTACATATTTATTTTAATTATTTGCACTGCATGTTCACCGTGGCGACGAATAACTGTTACCCAGTTTTGTTTTTTTTTTTTGAGAAAGAAAAGGGTACTTTATGAATTTTTCGAAATTGTTTTATTGTTAATTTTCCTCAGATTTTACTTTAATTGCAATAGTTTTTAAATTCTAATCCTTATTTACAGCCTTTTGTTGGACAAAAGGGGGAGTATAAGGGACTCAAAATGGAGAAAATTAGCCTACGGTTACAGAAGATATGGAATAAATTAACTGACGAAGACTTGCGTGTCAAATAAACTTTTCTATCAAAGTTTACACTGCTGGAAAATGTAAATAAGGATTAAAATTTAAAAACTAATTAATCCAACTAAAGTAAAACCTGTGGAAAATTGAAATTAAAACACATTTTTTCGCAAAATCTATAAATAACCCTTTTTTCTCAAAAAAAAAAAAACTGGGTAACAGTTATTCGTCGGCACGCTGTACTTGCATGTACTCCTCTTTCCTGGGTCCTTCGGGGGTGAGATACTAAATAATCCTTTAATTCATCCCATAATTTAAAAGCATTGTGGGAAACGTTGTTTGATCCCATGCACCTAGCATTCTGTAAGGGGCAGGAATTTCGTTTCGCCATAAGCCCCTTCTCACTTCGCCATAGATTTCTTGATCGATTGCTTCAGCGGACAATAGCTCCCATCGTGCATTTTTACAAAGTTGTGCAACACGACAGTGGCGTTCACAATCTCGGCAGAAGTGGGACTCATTTTTAGTGGACTTAATAATATTCTCCATCGGCACGCCAAAATTCCAAACACGTTTTCGATGACCCGACGAGCCCGGGACAATCGTTGTTTAAAAATTTGTCTGTCTGGTGGTAAGTTTTCTCCTAAAAGAAATAAACGTGTCAACAGTGAAAGATAAAAATATAATCACTTCTTACAAACCTGGAAACGGTCTCATCAAAAATGGTTTCAACGGAAACGCATTATCGCCAACAAAGTAATGGGGAAAACAATTGTTTGTACTTCGTAGAACATCATTTTCAGGCAGGCCCAGAGTACCGCTGTAAAGGTGTTTGCCGAAGCCCGAATTCCATAGGACACCGCCATCGCTTTGGAAACCGTAAGCGCCAATATTGATTCCAGTAAATGTATAATTGGCGAGGCATACTGCAAGTAAAACCATGATACAAAAAAGAAGGTAGTTTCATTGTCACTTTTCGAGCGCCATATTAACTTCATGGCAATTAAGCAGATTGTGACATTTCATGCTACCATACCTAATCCTCAACAATAATTTTTTTGTAAAAAAAAAAATTATTTACAAAATTTAAAGAAAATTTTTCTTCGATTTGAGCAACAAAGAAAATTTAATTTCATACATCCTAATATTTGCAAAACAAGCGACCAATGTCTTCTGTGAAATTAAAGACCGGTAAATATGTTGCCCACCGCAAAAATTGTTTATTATTAAATTTGTTTATTATACAGCCAATCATCCAAAATAATTTTGATGTGCTTTGCAAACGGTAGCCCAAGTAAGTCTTAATTATCGGATATCATAGAATTGCCTCTCTTATAGGTAAGGACGATGATATTACTAGACTTTCTCGCATTAATTTTTATTAAGATATACGCAAATGCATTCCGATCCAGCTGAAGATTTGGACAAAATGAAAGATTACGTACAACAGAAAAAAGTTAAACGTCATATGCGAACATCAAAGAGGTAGCGAATTTAAAACAATTTGACAAATCATTTATGTATAACATTCTGTAACCCATTAGCAACAATTTTCATCATTGTAACCCCTGTGGGGAAAATCTCTAGTTTTGAACTTGTGCGCTTCTAGCACATTTAGAACCACTACTAGTTCACATTAAATCTCTTTTGCATGCAAACAACTGGCGAATTTAACACAGCGATGTCATAGGAATTGGAAATTGTCTACCGCTGCATTACCTTTTCTATAGTTCAGAACCAGTCCTAAATTCGACATATGGGATCTAGTTCGCTTTGCACCCCATTTTCTATAGTTTCGAACCAGTTGTAAACGAAAAAAGTAACAAGATGTTTTCTTTTTGGGTTACCATGGTAGCAATTTTTAATTATTTGCAAAGAAATGTATTTTCAATCTGAAATCAAATTTATTTGAATGAATGTAAATTAAATCGTGCATTTGAAAACACGTTTACATACCTTTGCCTGTAGCTAAATTTGCAGAGGTGCTGACTGTTATTGGTTGTGTTCCAGAAGGTCCCATAATGTTAAGATGTTAACACAAATATTAGTTTTGTATTACCAAACTATGAAAAAGCATCTGCGACGTGCAAACTGAAAGCGTATTTGAACGAAAACCCCGCCAAGCAAAAATCTATTTAAAGTAAACAAGCCCCCGCTGCATCCCTTTTTCAGTAGTTTCGAACTAGTTCAAAATTCGCAGATGAGATCTAGTTCGTTCTGCATCCCTTTTTCTATAGTTTTGAACCAGTTCTAAATTCGTTATTTTAGATATAGATCTCTAAAATTGTTTTTTAGAAGTACCATATATCGCTGCTTTTGAACTGGTGGCGATCTAGTTACTATCGGACTGGTTCGTTTTTGGCGATAAAGATCTAGTACGGAACTACAAATTTGGTTCACCAGTTCGGGGTTTCCCTACAGGGACGTGTCGACATTCATAACACACGTCGGCAAGTTGCGATGGCGATCCGAAAATTGTTGCTAAGAGTTTCGCGAACCAACTTATTTTGTATATAAAACTTACACCTATTTTTTCAAATATGAAATCAAAAAATATTTAGAGGTCGCTCCAAGCGTAGGGCTGCCAGACGTCCCGGTTTTAGACTATTTGTCCCGGTGTCCCGGTCCAACCTTAAAATGTCCCGGGTTTCGTTTTAGTGTCCCGGTTTTTGATTTGATTACACAAATTTGAATAAAAGTTCAAAAATCACTACACTAAGAGAAAAAATGTGTTGTAATATTCAGAAAAATGTTATGAATTCAATGAGGGAAATAACGCATAGTAAACATGAATATTTTCTATTTGATTATCGTTTAAAAATATTCGTAATTAAAAATAATACTTTCATAACACGCACGCGTGGTGTTGATTCAAACTCAACATTTAAATGCACATTTACATGTCTGGCTGTAGCTGAGTGCGCGAAGATGCTTACCACAATTTGCTAATTTCCAGCATGGAATTTAAATATTTTTTAACTTAATTATGAAAAAGCAAACGGTAATTGCAAATCGCTTCATTTTAATATGGGCCTATTTGAATTGAATACTTCTATACTAAATACTAAAATTTGTATACTTAAATGTATTACGAGTTGGGTTGGTGCTCTTTCATATGCGTATTTTTTAATTTAGCGGGCTTAGGGATGTTCCGATATAAGTAAATACGAGTATGTACTCGATACTTTTGTTTCAATACCAATTACTTTTTTTACTTGAATCGTTTTATCGATACCTACTTAATATCGAAATAAAAGTACTTGTATCGAATCGATTTGAGGAAGTGCCATATCTTTCGGTCATATATTTTCTATGGAAAATAATTGCTTCGCTTTTATGAAAAATAATTGATCTAAGCAATGGCACCGCCAAAATCTAAAGAGGGGATATATTTTTACAAAGTTCAAGCAATGCTTTGTAGCCGTAACGTTTTGTGGGAACCTTTCAAAGGTTTAATTTTTTGTCTAAGTAATCGTATTACTTCTAATGTTACTAATGATCAAATAAACATATCGATACTTCAACTGAAAATATATTGAAAATATTTGAGATAGGGCGCTTTGAATCGGCAGCTGAGATATGGCGTTTTTGTACCGAGTTCTGAAAGAGGGTGGTCTTGAAAAGTTTTCTGATATAAGGCGTTTTTCAATCAAATTCTGGAATAGGGTGCTTTTGAAAAGTTTTCTCAGATAGGGTGCTTTCAATCTGGCTGCCGAGATAGGTCGATCTACCACTCAGGTATCGCAAAGGGTATGTCACAGATAACGCCTGAAAATTACTTTCGCTTTGTTGCATATAAAAGGATGAAAAGTTATCGATATAAGGAGGTATCGATACATTCGGTTCACTCATATAAGTAGTATCGAAATAGGGATTTGAGTAAACTCATTTGAGTAGGTATCGATACTTTGATGGTATCGGAACGTCCCTAAGCGGGCTTTTTTAATTCTAAACTTCTTTCTCTCAGTGCACCGGTTTAATTTGTGAAATAGTTACATTTCCAGGTAGTTAAACTTTGCACAAGCAATAGTTGATGATTAGTATATGTACCTAAATACGTTCTAAATGACGTGCACAGAGTTTTACAATTATATTAAGGAAAAGACAGAAGTTTTGAAACAAGTTCACAGCAACGAAAAATATGACTGATATTTTAATGTAATCTTGTACTTAAATTTTTTTCATTCCTGAAACCTAAAATTATTGGCTCGGAGGCTCTTTCATAAGATCACAATTTCTAATCAGATCTTTTAGAAAAATTTTGACAATGTAGCTTTTGGTGCATTCCACTGTTACGTACAGACAAGTTCAACTAATTTTACGGTTTATATTACATATAGCACTTAATTGTTTTATCAGATATATACTTTTTTTTCTCTAATTTAATAGATTATATACTAGTCTTTAATAGTGCGAAGAAACATTTAAAAAAAGTCATGAAATACTGAAGAAAAATGCAAACAACCCACGTCACGTACGGGACACATCAAGTCAACCAACATTCGAAATCGTTATAGTTTTATTCAGATTTCAGCGAATATATTACAGGTGCATAAAAAGTGTCTTCGAAGCAAATTATAACTAAGAATCAAGCTTGCTACTAGCGGAAAAAAATATTAATTAAAACACATATTTATAATTCAAAAACATTTTTTTATATTTGTCACGTACAGACAAGTCGCGTCACGTACGGGACATAGTTCAACTTAAATCTATAATATATGTAAAAATCAATAGGTAAATACAGTTTTGTCTTGGGAAAGGCAATGTTTTCTGCACTCCACAACTTTCTCCACAGTTTTAATAAAATGGAAGTTGGAAATTCCAGTTATCGCTTTGGCATTGTCCCACGGCGATGCACTTTTAATCCTTTCATAAATTTCAGAGGATGGCACATAAATCACACGGGTTTTTGTGGCTAATTGAGAAGCTAAATCAGAAAAGTCCTTGGCTGATTGGACAACAACATGTTCATTTTGGCTCATCATTTTCTCTCTTACCAGTCTTTTGATATTTCCGCCAACTCCGTCTATCACACCTTTTCCATGCGATGTAGCAAAATATTTCCAATAAAAGGGCCGTTTGTACTTTTCACTCAACATTGATGTTAGTTTAACCATATAACGGTTCTTAAATTCCGATGAAGGGCCGTCACTCCAAATAATTTCCGCTGAAGGTAAGTCTTCATTTTCTTTATGCATCAAGTCAAACAACTTATTGATGAAAACAGAAACTGTATCCTTGTCTTTCGAATTTGCATCTGAGCATATAAGATATGTTTGGCAATTGCCTTTGTAAAAACTTGCAGCAGTAAATAAAAGAACACTTGTTCGTGACCAGAGTGCGCTTTGAACTTCATTCTGGCATTCACAGCCAAAAGACATCGCAAAATCAACTTGAAGGATTCGCACATTTTCATTGCGTTGGTCTTTTTGAAATTCACCGGCTTGAACTCGTTTTAAATTAACATGCTTCATCATAATATGGATAGAATCAATCAATTTTTCTTTAAGTTCACCTGAACTTGTTTCGTGGTTTACTAAACGAAGTTTATTTTCTGAGTTTTTTTCCCATTCTTTCCATACACAGATTGTACTTAAATCCATAGAAATTAATATTTTTTTGCCATCAGAACAAGTATCACATTCATTTTTCCAGCACTTCGAATCCAAAGAAGGATCACATAAAATCATAGTCCACCAGTCGTTACAATAATTTTGTTTCAAACCTTTCAATTTGAACATAAAATTTTCATGAGTTAAACATTTGCACTGGTCTGAAGGTGTGTCTTTCATTAGCAAAACGTTTTTCGGTCTTAGACTACAAAATTTTGAAAATCCAATTTCGATATTAGGAAAAAATTCTTTAAAAATGAAAAAGGCTTCTCGTAGGTACAAAGTCAAATAATGCTTTTGACACTTCTTCTTAATGCCGTTTTCCCAAACAACGATGAAATCATTTGCGCCTGGGCAGGTATACACAATATCCGGACGATAGTAAAATGCTTTCACATCGTCTTAACGTGTATCGTCA